AGAAGACTCCGAGAATTTGGAGAAAAAGGCCGAAAATTGGTAACACATGCTCCCATTCAGGGACCTGTTTACCCATTCATTTACTAAACTTAAGTGTCCCAGTACTTATGGTCTGCCTTGAACGGTGTAAGTTTTTTAATAGCAGATTTTGACACATTTTACTTTAATAGAAGAAAAAAAAACTGAGCTTGAAGACAAAACTTTTGGCTGCTTTCTGTCTCCCAGATTTATCTCTGACACACATTTATCCAGGCCTAGGGACCATCATTTGGAGCACATCAGCATGCAACACCCTGAATGTGGATTTGAACCAGAGATCTTTTATATGCAAGAGAGGGTCAAAAATAGGGTGTAAAAAAAAAAAAGACCCTGCGTGCTGGAGTCCGGTCGGCAAAAACTCAAATCAGGCCCAGTAGATGGTTTTGGAACTTGTAAAGGAGGGGATAATTTTTGAACTTTTAATTGTATTATTATAGCTGTTAGTAACAGATAAGCAATTAAATAAGAGAAACTTTCCTTCACTTTCCTGTTTTTTCTGCTAACTACTATAAAGACGACTGTTTCTTTTCTCATTTCTTTTTCTCTTTAAATTATTTCTTATTTCATTTGAAATAACAAAATTGTTCTATTAAAATTACAGGACAGTTTGGGCAATGAACTACCAGAACTTTTTCTGTAGTCGTGCTGACAGATTTTTCACTTACTCCAGCAGCATTTCTTTATCATGTAGAAAAACCGAGACAAACACTTGAAACTGCACTTCTTTATCTTACATTGAGATATCGCCGAGATGAAACGTATAGTTAAACTTTACACCAACAGAAAGGGGAATTTCACTACTCTGCCTAATGTTGTAAGATGCGTTTGACATGACTGCACTACTCGATGGAGCTGTTTGCATATAAAATGTGTAAAACCTCTGTTTGATTGTGTCAGATGGTTAAATGCCCTCTTTTAATTCACTTTTAGAGTTTTTACTCGAGCAAGTCCCAGCATGTAGAGGAACTGTGGAAGTGTGAAAACTCGTGCAATGCTCTATTTAATACAAACCTCAACTTGCCAACAGGTATAACCTGAATCTTTGTGCTCACAGAGACAGAATCAGATCAACAAGCGGTGTAAAATGCCTTCAGCTTGAATAAATTCACAGTTTCTGCCGCAAACTGTCGCCACACTGAGCTAACACCCACAGCACTAGCAGATAAAAACACTGCAGCTGTTTGACATCTCAGTTTAGAGCTAGATATTTACCAGAAAGTATAGAAGATTTCAATTTTTTATTCTTATTTATATTATTTCATTTGGAAAACTGCGGGGTTTTTTGTTTTTTTTTACCTCACAACATAAAAAACAGGTTTTCATTTGTAGATTTTTACCATTCAGTTTTACCCTTTGTCATTCCTGCTGATTAGCTGAAGCATACCTTATGTTCTCCCCTCTTGTAGTAATGGAGCTGATACTCCAGGTTGTTGGGCAGAGCAGTGAAGCTGGTGTAAGTCTCGTAAGTGCTTTTCCAACCAAAGTGGTGGTGACTTGAGTTGTGGCTGACTGAGAGGCAGCACGGTGCGTTTGGTTTAACTGATAAGAAGATGTGTGACTGTTAAAAAACAATAATTCATACATTTATGAGTCCTGCCAACACAGATGATCATTACGCTGCTTACTGTTGTGCACAGGTAGGTACTGCTCATCTAGCACGTCACAGGTTTCAGACTCCTCATTTGGGTCGTGGCAAAGTGAGATTTTGTATACTTCTAAATCTGTAAACGTATCGTCATAATTGGGCGATGTTGTAAATGTGCAGAAATAGTTCTCTTTGGTGTGTGTCAGCATGCACTTGTACGTTCTGTGAGAAAAAGAGAAGCAGCAATAAGGTGCATGGCGTTAAAGGTGACCCATCATTCTTAAATGCATTAGTTAAAAGAGTCTCACTCGAATTCTGTAAAAATGAGCCAGTAGGAGCTGTTGCTGTTTGAGGTGTTTTCTGATGGAGTGATGTTCAGGGAGCAGTAGACGGTGGTTAGGTAATCATTGACACAGTGAAGATTGTAGTCCGCTCCTAGGAAACCCCATAGAAAAGATAGTTATGATTACAGAGCAAAACAAAATGAAGTAGAAACATTTCAAGTCCATGTTTAACTCAAGACTGTTAGTGAATAAGCATGTGCTAGCCAGTCCAGAATAGAATTATATTGTAATAGCATAAAACACTCATGACTGGCCTATATATACACTGAAATTGTGTTTATATGAGAGACAATGAGATCTGCAGTGTGATTAATGTTCTAATCTAAAGAGAGCTAAAACCATAGATCAGGTGTCAGTATCAGATCAACAAGTCAAGTGCAGCTCTTACAAACGTGCATTAATACTAGTGCTATTTTTTCCCCCTTTGCGCTACCTTCTCTGCCTCTGCCAAGAAAGCAAACAATTAGAAGCAAAGAACCAACAGGAAGTTTCAGAATTATTCAGAAAGCATTTTTACACAGTCCCTATTGCTTGAAGCAACTGAATCATGATGATTTGCACTTTGATAATACTTTTCTATCTTTTTGAGTGCACACAATTCATGACTTGAGCTGCTGGCTGATCAACGTTTTGGGGTTCAGTGTCTTTCTCAAGGGCAATTTGACATGACGGCATGAGCACCAGGAGATGGACTTAGCAAAATAATGGACAACCTGTACAACGACATAGATCCAGGCATCTCAAAACATCATTTAAGTGCTGCTTTTGATGTATCATGGTTGTTGTAGATTAGCAACTAGGGTGAAATGCACAAAAACAGTAAATAGTTTGTCACTTTATTGTATAATGAAGAACCTCATTTGAGAGCTTAAGCTCATTTAGCCATTTAATCTAGCCGTTATTGCGTTAGTGTTGTTATATCTAGTGCTTTAAAACTCTTACACTTACATTTTACAGCTGTACAATTGTCTTTTATCTGACGGAAAAACAAAAAAACAAAGTAAGAATTATAACCTGCTAATGGACTTCCATGTAGCCTGACGATGTTGGTAGATTTGAGCAGGAACACAATCAGCAGCGTCGCCTTCATCCTCAGGGGTGGATGCCAATCCATCGCACCAGACGCCAGCTCAGCCCAAAGATTGAGTCATACTGTCCTGACTCTTTTGTAAAGCGGGTTTTAAACGCAGACTGAGAGGCGTAACCGCTCAGGCTTCTCACACAGATAGCTGTCACTCACCACTATCATTGTCACTGGTTGGAGAGGATGTGCTTTTTTAAGAGAGCAGCTGTTTATGAAAGCGTGTGAAAAGAGTTTAACCTAGCAGTGTTTCATATTACAGTCTGTCTGACTGTGCACTTGTTTGCAATTGTCATGAAATCTTTACCAGAGCCCGTTTAGCTTGTTTAGAGGAAGCAAAAGGTGAAGTGCTTTGGGCCGAGATGCTCCACAGCCCACCTGCTGAGGTGCATCCACAGTTTTAAGGTTACTTCATGTAGTAACTTTCTGAATGGGCACAAAGCTGTCTTATCATCCAAACTCAGTTTGAATGACTGATGAGCTGATAAGCTGCAAAAACGATGAAGCCTGAGATGCCATGTGACAGAAATGACTATATAAACACCTTTCACTGAGCTCTAAACCTACAGCGTAAGATATCCACTCATTTCTGTCAGACATTCATCTGCTTTAGGGACACAGATTTAAAACACACCTCTAAACACATATTTGTGTGTTAACATTCTCTGCACATTGGCTGTAAATGTCTAAACAGGATTAAGATTTTTACCTTTTGTATACTGCACATCAACATCTTTTGACTTTCACATAATATTTTTTTAAAAGTAGGTTTTCTTTGCTATTTATTCCTGAGTTGTTTTATTCATATTTACAGAAAACAGTACATTTACGTGCTCTTCCTGTGGAATCTAGACAGCAAAAAGCCACGCAGTCCAAGTTTGCATGCCTTAATCTACCTTTAAGCCACCACAGCACTTTCTATATCATTATTATTATTACTTCAATTTAACAAGTAACCTGATATTAGAGTATGCTAATCATTGTGCAACCTGCAAGGGTGTTGTGCAACATGCACTGAGAGCAGATTAGCTGAAATTGGGGTTGTGTACGCCTTTGGTGAAAGATGTTACAAAAGATAAGAGCTGATGGTGAGTTTCACGGCTTCCTCTAGGGTTCATGATTTTGTTTATTTACAAATGTGTAAACACACTCTAGCAGACTGAATCTCACTTTAGCTGGATGTGTCTCGTTCATCATGCACTCGTGTTTTTTTTTTACGGCCTGAGGGCCCAGTTACATAATGCATCGCCTGCTTTACTTGTGAAGTATGCTGCAGCAAGTATTAGTAGATATTGTGATGGGAATACCCGCAAACATTTTTTTGCGCTATAATACCATTTCAACAGGAAATGAATAAACACAGAATGTCAATGTATAAATGCGATTGCAGAGGTTAGGTTTCAAAAATACCTGTTTACCTCCCATCGTCTTACCTTACCACAGAACGAAACTGAGGCTTATTTTTACTAACTGAAACCCAAATGACTTCTGTCCCCCCCTTTTTCCTGTTAAGCAGCATTAAAACTTGCTTGAGATCAGCAATGGTGATGGTCCTGGGATGGAACTAGTGTTCGAATCTTTATATTGTGCAAGAAGAGAAATCTGCAACGTGCTGCAGTTCTTCTACATCTGATACAGTTTTTTTCCTCTGTTTTTAGTACTTTGATAAAAAAAAAAGTTTCCTTTTCGTGATAAACACTCTGAGATGATTGCAAACAGCTAGAGATGTCACATGTAATCACACTGATACAAATCTGAGAGGCTGATTGAAGCTGCAAAAGTTGTACTAATCAAGTTAATGGAAAAGTCCACAGGCTGATAACACTGTGGGCTTTTTTTTGTCACGTAAAATATCAGCAATGTAATGTTTAAATAATAAAATCCATTAAGTAAACATAGAGAACGATTAAATATTTTAAATATGACTCTTCGCACACTTTTAATACTGTTAATCAATATTTAATGGGTAGTTTTCACATGGTAATCTTTCACATTTGAAAAGTTCTTTGCACATCTGAGAAATATGAAAAGTAAACCCTTATTTTAACAGTGGTGATAAAATAGTAAACAGCCCTATAAAATAAGTCTCCTCTGATGTCTGTGGCATATTAAATGTATATGTTAGTGTTACAGTCCGGCAGGATACAGAACATGAAAACTGATCCTGTGTGGGGATCTCTTTAAGCACTTGAGGCACACCAGCATCGCTCACTCGCAGGCCAGCTTGCCATCAAAGGATGAGAGGGTGATGGCAAAAGCTTGCAGGGCACACATAGGGAAACTGTAGTCCATCGAGAAGACGTCCTCAGCTACGCGGCCAAACTGCATCACGATGTAGTCCTCTGGAAAAAACAGGAGGGCATTGAAGTTAATGAGCCAAATCGTTTCTCCAGTGGTTATTCAGAGACGGACAATAAGTCGCCCTACCATTGTCAGGGTGGATGATCTGGAAGTTTTTGACAGAGGCCTGGGTGACACGTCCGTGAAAGTTGAGCACGTACGACTGAGTCTGTTCGTTCCAGCTCGGGGATTTGTTCACCAAGGTGACCAGTTTGTCCGTGTTGCCATTTGCATGGCGGGTCAACAGAGTCTCCAGGTCCTGGAATAAGAGGATAAGATAAGTTGATCTGAAATAATTCACTCCTATCACAGGTTTAATAACACTGTGAATGAGTTTTATGTTTTACTTATACATTTTTGGGCCGGATGACCACTCTTTCATCATTCTCCAGCATGCCAGGGATGAGCACCGTCATCTTCCTTGGACCCTTGAAACCCAGCACATTTGTCTCCTGGAATGTGATAAATGGTTGTGATGCATGTTGGAAAGCTTTGTCTGTTCTGCAAATAGCATGCATGTGTGTGTGTGTGTGTGTGTGGTACCTACGTAGCAAATTGCTGCTAGCTCTTGCCTCATTGATTCACACTCTTTTATGAAAGGTTTTTTCTCCGGGTTTTCACCTCCATCATAGACTGTGAACTTTGTACCTAGCACATTTGACCTGAAACAAATGAGTCGTATCAGAATCACGATCTAAAACAATTTGAGCTAGCACACACACCACAGATGCTTTGATGCTCACTTATTTTTTCCGGTAAGTCAGCATTGCAGATCTTTGTTAGGGAAAAGGCCAGAGTGGTGACAAGTGCTTTTAAACCCCAACTATTAGCCGGGCTCACTCTTCAGATGGCTGTCAGTTCACTTTGGTCCAGATTGGAACATCAGCAATCACAGATGGAGTGCAGTGGCTTTTTTTTTTTTTTACACATTCGTGGTGCTCTCACACTAATCTTATGGTGCTTTTTCTTGAGTTCTTTATGTCTGTAGCTGGAGCCTCCCATGTGTCATAGATTCTATTGCAGGGCAAATGATTTCTGGCTAAGCCAGACAGGTTACTGTGCATTTGAAGTGTTAAGGAACAGTTGTTAGACATAAGGCAACTGGGCACGTGCCTGACACGAGCTCTGAGTATCATAAAGGAAATGTGAAGGAGTGTGTACTTTGGTAGTGGTGAAGTGGGAGATCTGTGCAAGATATATGACGGACGCTGCTCGACTGAAGCCAGTTTACTTTAAAACCACGCAGATATTTCATACCTCTCAAAGAAGCAGTCAGCTGGTATAATAAAGCAGACCCTTTCCTGCTCTGTTCAGCTGTCATGAGAACAGTTTGACCATATGGCATGTAAGAAGTGCCAATCCATCTTACTGGAGGTGCTTTGGAGGTGTGAAACGCCTCCAGATTACCTTAACAAACTTACAGCGAGAGTGGCAAAGGTCGGCATGGCTGTGAATGCTGCAGATAAGACAATTCTTTAAAGAAAGCAAAGTAAAAATCACAACTTTTACTTTGCTTTACTTTTACTATAACTCGCTGAATTAATTTTTATGAAAAACCTGAATTTTCTACGTAAATAAAAAGGTTTAAAAAGTGAGTTCAGCTGTCCAAAGATCTCCAAGGAATTTTGGGATGAAAATGACCGAGGTTACAACCGATCAGAGCTGTGGCACAAGACCAAAAGACCAGATCATACTACATTTTTTCATTTTAAATGGTGAAATCACCTTAGTTTTCCTATGTAGGAGTTTGTATCTCTGGATAGATTTGTGGGGTCAGTAGAGATGAGATAGTTGGATGTTTTGCACTTCTTTCTCTTTCGGCCCGCCATTAGAAACACCTAGAGGTGGCACAGTGGTTAAACAGAGGGAGAGAATGATGCATTGACACAAATACGACAGCAAAATGAAATTACTGTAGCTAAAATCAGTGCACCTACCCTCTTTCCATCCTCTTTCTCCATGTGGAGGTAGTAAGTTGGGTAAATGCCCTTCTCCATGCCTCTCCTGTCCCTCGTGACCCTGCACTGGATCGTCACATCTCTAGGAGCAGGACGTAAGGCAAACTTCTCAAGATCTTCCACTGATATTGGAGAAGTTGGCTGAAAAGAGAAAGGATGTGAATGATTTTTTGAGATCTTTTCCATTTGTTTTTTTGTTTGTTTTTGCTTCTTGCGCCTGTAACGTCTTACTCTTTCATTAGATTCACTGGCTGTAGATGAACTCTCCCTGTAGTTGGAGTTCAGGGACGCTAGACTTCGTGTAGTTTTCTCTGCTTTGTGTGACTTTTTCTCTTTTTTCTCTTTCTCTTGGACCTCCTCGTCTTTGCTCTCGTCACTTATTTGGCATCTGGCTATGGAGATAAACAATGACAATGTTCTTTTATAAAACTTTAAAGAACCGGGGATCATACAGAATACCTCCAGATGTTGATTCTGTTCATCTGGACGTGGCGTTTTGTGGGAGAAACGTTTCGTCAGTCGAGACTGAAGAAGTCACTTGGATGAGTAACGAAACATTTCTCCCACAAAACGTTACGTCCAGATGAACAGAATCAATTTTTGGAGATTTACTTTCCTGGATGATTGAGAATGCATCAAGACATCATACAGAACAGATTTTTCTCTCACATGTGTCCAGGTCTTTTTTCCTTTTAGGTGTTTGAGAAGCATTCCTCTGAAGCCCATCTTCTTCTTCTTCTTCTTGTTCAGCTTCACTTTGATCTTGTTTAGTCTTCTCTGGGCTTACCTCTGCTGACACTGCTTCAGACGTTAAAGCCTCCTGTAGGTTCTTCTCTGTAAAAGAGCAGACATTTGCATAAAGCTTGATGTGAAGCTCCTTTAATTTAATGGAAGTGGGTTTTTTCTTGTTAGATGCAAAGCTCTTAGAGTGGAAGTGTGAATTTGTTTTATTACTTTTGCGCTCTTGTTTGGTTGTCTTATTTGTCTTCGGTGCGTCGACAGAGTCTTTGCTCTTCTTCTTTGTTTTTTTCTCCTTCTTCTCCGTGTCTTTTTCTTTCTTCTTTTCCTCTGTCTCTTCCACCTCTGAAAAAACAGTTAGTTGCTGATCAATAGGCGTCTGTAACGAACAGCGTTCATCAAAACACAGGACAGTTTCTTACATGACCGCTTACGTTTGGCTTTGTCCTTTTTCACATCTTTCTTCTTTGTCTTTTTCCCTTCCGCTTGGGCTTCGTTGGCCCCTTCGTATTTCACCTCAGGCTCTCTGTCAATCTCCAAGTTCATTTTCTTGGGAACGACTGGCTTCTCTGCAGGCATCTCATCTAACTCCACATTTGCTGTTGCGTCACCTTCACCAAGTGTAATCACATCCAGTGGGTTATCATGGGCATGCTCAACTTGATCTTCAAAATAAGCAAAAAACAAACAAACAAAAAAGATTTATAAATGATGAAAAAATAAAAAATTAAATCACACATTGTAAAGACATGTTTAGTTTTTTTTTAATGATTTATTCTAATTAATTATTCTAACACCAACCACTAAGAGAAGTGCTGCTCAGTGATTGGCTGATCAACAGAGGCGTCTCATCAGAGTGGACAGCTTTGTGCTTTCGATTCTTCTCTCGAGTGTCCCGGTTGGTCAACACCATTTGAGAATCAGCTCTCTTCTTCTGCTGCTTCTTCATCAAAAGGGTTCGCTGTGGGTCACACATCAGACAAACTCAGTCTCTACACAGTGTTCACACATGGAAATATATTTACATAGATATGGTCCAAATGGGCTCTTGAGAGTCATTAATAAAACAATGTTCTGCTTTCTCTCTCATGCAACTGAATTCAGTTCAATTCAATTTTATTTATGTATTGCCAAATCACAACAACAGTCACCTAAAAGTGCTTATATTTAAGGTAAAGACCCAACAGTCAGAGGACGAACACTTGGCAACAGTGGGAAGGAAAAACTCCCCTTTACCAGGAAGAAAGCTCCAGGAGAACCAGGCTAAGGGAAGGGCTCTGGGAAGTTAGATAGTGAGTTGTAGTGGTTTTAATTCTGGACAGCCTAAATGATTGCTAATGCACCTGCATGTTCATTTTCACAGTTTACTACACTAATACTGCTAGTTCTTAATTTAGGATTAGTACTTTACTACTATGGGTTACGTGCTGACGTGACTACTATAGGGCATATATGTAAAGCTTAAATAGATCAAAACCGCATACTGTATAGCATAAACGGGCCTGGGACTTGAAGTTTAGCAGCTCAGGAAACAGCAGGTGGTTCTGACACAGACTGTGACCTTTTCCAACTGGAGAAAGATTTTTTTTAATGTATCTATTTTTGTAAAGCTATGCTTAAATTTTAGTACTTGTGAGCAACAACTGACAAAATTTTAGTGTTTGCTCCAGTCTCACTGTGACAGTCTTGCATGCTTTTTACAAAATGGTAAAACCTATGTAATGTTTGCAATTACGATTCTTGTACCAGTGGAAACTAGAATATATAAAAGATATATTTAAATTATAATCATTGTATCTTCACCTGGTTGTCCAGCTTCTGTTGTCGTATGTCGGGCTCCTCCATGTCCGGGTAAAACCTCCCTATTAACTGATGAAGCAGTCACTAGATGAATCAGAGTATCTGCAAACAAAAGATGAAGTCCACCATCAACGCTCAAGGTGAGAACAATTAAAAAATGTCGACTGTGTCCAGAGAAAAACCCACTACGTGCAATTAAGGACGGAAAGCGGGTGTTTGATTGTGCCGCCCAGCTCCATCTGCCAGTCTGTCCACCTGCGTGCAGCAGAAGGCAAAGTAGATTAAATGGGGATAATGTTCTTAAACTGCAGCGGCAGCTCAGTCAGGGTGACGAGCAGCCTGTTGAACAGGCTTTCCATACTACTTCATGAAGATGTTAAGGCCTGCAGCAGAAACGTGAGGCAAGAGAAACAGGAATGTGGTGCCCCCATCCACTCCCAGCTCCTCCATCACTTGCCCCGTAAACAAACACGGAAGCCACAGCAGTCGCACAGATAGCCCCCAAAGCT